AAAAAAAAAAAAAAAAAAAAAAAAAAAAAAAAAAAAAAATTAAGAGAGAGAAAATTGCGGCCAAAATCAACTCGAGGTCGTCGACATGCGATACGACCAGAGAATTGTGGTGCACACGCCAAAGGCCACTTGCGTTGGTATATTGCACGTATACGTATCACAGTTGTATAGATCGTCAAGAGGGTCGGGGAGTGAGAGCAAACGTGTGTATTATCGACCGACTCGGGTATGGGGAAAAGGGGCCCATCTTACGACCTCGACAATTATCTTTTCTCTCGATTCCCTACCCGCAATTATCCCCTCGATCCCACACCTGTAACTATTTTATTTTTGTTTCTTGTTACGGGTGGTAACTCGGGGAAATATTAATTTTTCATAATTCCACCATCACAGCCGGCAAACATAATCGGCCTATCGTGACTCTTTGGTGTATTAACATATTAAACCAACAATTAATCAATGTTTCTTTTCCCGATAGCAAAAACACGTCCATTAAAAAGTCGTTCAACCTTTTGAAACAAAAAGTTTTTCTTCTTATGCTCCCAGTGCATTATTTGGAGTATGTACTTTTATTTTCAAATGTCACGGAAAATCTTGCTGGGAACAAAAATGCCAGGCAAGAGATGATGAATATGTAACGCGCGATTTATGCCAAGAAAACGGTAACCCGTGACTCTTTGTTTTACTGCATCCTTATTTTGACTTGTCGGTGTCCTTTTTCAAAACAGTACACTTGCCTTTAACATAAATTATATTCTGTTTAATTTCTCATAAACTAATTTTAAAAAATCTACGAATTTAATAGTGTAAGTGGAGTTCTTATGTTAATGAAATCATTTCTATATAAAAGTCTAGCGAGATTATTTATAGTAATGAGACAAACTCAAAGTAATATTCAAAATATTTTGGTGTTTAACTATCATTTACATCATTTCAGTTGGAATCTGCAGTATTCATGAGCTAGTTACTGTACACGTAATTGCTTCTCAATCATTAGGAGTAATTAAAATAATTTCAAATAGTTTAAGCATTAGGTATTTACATTTTTACCTAAAATATCTACATAGGTAGTGAGGTAGAAATATATTTTGTACCATACACGTGGTTTTACTAGTTTTTGTCAGTTTCAATTGTCTTTAAAACGATGCATCTTTTTTGTTTTCACTGATTTCGTTCGTCTCTTCAATTGACCCTAGGCTTATAGGATTATTGTCTCCCGTGTACGTTAGTAGCACAAATAGTTGCTTGTATTTTGAAATTCAAAACCATTTTAGCTAGGCATTACTTAAAATTTTTTTTCCTCCGTCATATTTGCAAGTAATTTTTCCGGACTGCTCTTTTCTTTGAACATTACAAAACGGGGTTTGGAGAACTCTTGGTTTCACGTAATGATACGCATACACACACTTAAGTCTAAAAGAACACACACTGAGAGAAATAAAAGATAAAAATCATTCAAGAATTCCATAGCTAACAAAAAAACCGATGATGCTTGTCATCTACGGAACAGTAACTCGAACAAAAGTAACTTTTCTGCCTCGGCAAACCCGATAAAACACTGACACCCAAAACATAGGTTACACGAGTGTATTATGTAGAAGCGGAAAAAAAAAAAAAAAAAAAAAAACTGAACTGAAGGGGCGTGTGTGCTTTGTTCGCAGGAGGAGTGCGCGTCGATGCTGCAGGGCCTGAGCGACAAGATAAACAACCGGCACCACGAGGTCTACACCCACCCGCTGCTCTCGATCTTCAAGATGGCCGAGGTCGAGATCAAACTGCCCCGCGCGAGCTCGGCAACGTCTTCCGGCGCGAGTCCACTGCTCTTTGGTCTCCTGCTCCTCATCCTCGTGTGTAGCCCAACCTCGTCCTCGTGACCACACGGTTCCAACCAGTGTCCAGGTATAGGTATCATTGCAGGGTCCTTGGCGCTGTGACTGCCATTGTCACTGCCGTCATTTATCCACCTGCAATGGCCACCACTCGAGGCCTCCTACGGCTTTTGTACATATGTTAAGGCTTTTAAATATATATATATATATATATACATACGACGTGCAGATACGTAAATAAGTACTGTCACACCGTACATATACATATCATGTACCATTACTGTATACATATACGTTACATACATATTATAAATATCCTCAGGAGGATGATGGAGCCTCGCGACCTATAACTATGTTTGTAAATAAATTTGTATGCTTTGTAGTAGATGGTTGGTAAAAAATCGCTGTTGGAGGTACGGGGAGAGACCGATTCTAGGGTATAGGTGTAAGATATTCGTGTGTAGGTGACAAGCACAACCCACAACACCGTTCTTTCGAAAGTTTAAGTTTTTTTTTTTTTTTTTTTTTTTTTCATTGAAATCCTATGATTAAAAATATTTTCCTTTAGATCAGAGTAAAATGTTGTTTTAGTAGCAATTGGCTGTTAGTAGGATGAGTGTACAAGCAAAAAAAATAATAAACAGAAAAAATGGTGTGTGAGTCAGGTATGACTCTCAAGGTCTATAATAACATGAGATGCGACTGTAAAATTGTCAGATACATACAAAGTTTGGACTCGAGCAGAAACATGTTGTGCACAATTAAACGTTAACGGTAGTAATATTTACCGTGAATTCCCTAAATTTTTTAAATTACATGAGATTTAAAGCCTTTGGATACAATGTCGAACAATTAATCGTTAAATTTGATTTTGTAACAATAGACGAATTCCGAGACAGTCGTGTTATAATGGCTGTTAGAGGCACCGTAATTTGTAGAGCCCAGAAGTGCGAGATGACAAACGTGAGGACTTTCGTGAGTATAGTTGGCTCCGAGGTGATAGTTGGACCAAACGGAAAACCTTTTGTCCGGTAAAGTGGCACTTGTTTTCCGAATTTATTTCGTATACATCGAATGAACTCACACGAGCGTAATGTACAATGTGCATGTAAATAATTATAGTAATATAACTTGCTTACAGTGACGTCGCTACCACGTCTCTTTGTTTTTGCATTGAGTGGTACGAGCTCAGTAACATTTGTACAGGGGTGGAGGTTGTTACGAATTGGTTTTAGTGCAATGGAACCAGAACGCGTTTGTACATACATACGTACTCATAATGTAAATACGCAAAATTAAAGAAAAAAAAAAAAAAAAAAAAACACGTATTAATAAAAATATCAAGCGTTACCAAAAAGCTGAGCAAATTTTATTGATTTCGATTGCCAAAGAAAACAGAGCACGAACAATTGTTGATATGTCAAGCCCTACGATACTATTGAATAAATCAACACATTTTTTAACAATCAAAGTTTGTTTTTATTTTATGATTTTTATCGTTTTTGTTGCTTTGGATCGTTGAATTTATGATTTCATACGTGGTTGGAGTTACAAAATGTAACTTTATCGCACCAGTCAGAAAGAACGTTCTTCATGAACTGAGCACTGTATGTAAGTATAATCAACTTTACCACGTTACTTAATTATTCAGCAGATATATGTGAACGAGATACTAAGTTACATTGGTAAGTAAATGAATCATTTTTAAAATAAATAATTATTTATTTGTTTATAATAGTAAACAACATTTAACGACTTGTTTATCGAAAATAAGAACTGATTTTTAGGATTATTTGTTTATAATAACTAGCAAAAAGTACATAGGTATATGCAGTATATATTTGATCAACTAGTAAGTAGATCGATGGTGCAGTACAGGCGTACTATCCAGATGACATGAATAATCAAGGGAGTGTTCAAAGTCATTTTTTTATGAGTAATTTTGGTACAAGAGTGAATTTTGTCTGATCCAAGAGAGTGGTTTGAATTTTTTCTCAAAGAGTCTACTAGTTGTCCTGCAACAGAGTCTCCGCCTACCACATCAAACAGGAGCTGCTGCCTGTGGACCCTATGCAAGCTTTACGTAAGGATTTTATTTGGCATTTCATACAATTTGATTTGAGAATTTACATGCCATACAAATAAATGGTACTTTATATCTATGGTAAACTTGATGAAATCGTGTTTGGAGCTTTTATAAGTAACTCGTGCTGTAAGTACCTGTTTCACTCGGTCGAAGATAACGTATTTATGGACTTGTTCCTGTGTAATTATGACCCTAAAATCAAACTTTAATAGCTAATCTCCTGAAGTAATATACATTTTGATGCGGCCATTAAAAGAATTTTTAATTCTATCTTTAAAAAGGCAATTACATTTATAGATAAATTTCCGGGAAGGCGAGAACGAATGGAACTAATAAAAGCGAGATTGAGCGAGGAAAATTTTTTATCTGCAAACCATACGGTTTTATAGTTCATCTAACTTTTCTCGGAACTCCACTAGAGATTAGATTGGCTGTACTTGCAGTCGCAGTGGTCGCAGTTTGAGCGAAGAATCACTGGGTCGAGGCAGTCGCATCAGTGACACGCAACGGAGTTGTAATTTACTTTGTCAAGTCGCACGGACTTTCAAGCATTGCGTTTAAACGCTGCCTGGCTCTTTATGATACTGGTTCAAGAATAGGACAGAAAACGCGAGAGTACAGAGAAGAGTTGGAGAGACCGCGATGTGAGCTGTCCTCGTGTGTCTGACCTGACGTTGACTTGTATCACTTATGGATTGCAGGTCAATTTATGAATCCCTTCAGTCTTTGTTTCATTTCATTTCTTTTTGATGAGTAGCCCAACCTCGTCCTCGTGACCACACGGTTCCATGCCACTCATATAAGACAGTTTTTTGTACAGTCATTAAAGTAAATTTTTAAAAAAACGTTTCAAACTAAAATAATAGTTTTTTTCTTTTTTTTGCCCACTTACGTGCGATTTACTATGCAGGATGGTAATTTTTGCTGGAATTTCTCTATAATTTTTTTTCTTTTTTATCTCAGTGTACGTCTTTGCGCATTAATTTAGCATTCTTCCTTTTGAAAGGTGGGAGGGATACAAAAAGAGGGTTTACTACCCACATTTTATTTGCTAGCAATAGACAATTAAACGAAAGATCTATGATTACGTAAAATTTCAAAACTCAATGTAGAGTTCTGTGTTTGTATATTCTTGAACTTCATTCTGCGTACGTCTTATGTTTCACGTACTTTAAAAAGGTTTTCAATTAACGCGGGTGGACTCGCCAAGCCTGTTCCCCTACCCACTTACTCTTGTCCGTGTCTTGCACTACACTGCCCTCCACATGGCTCGTCCCTACTTTCTACTGGACTAACAACGAGTCCTTGAGTGGAAATAAGAGGGAGGAGGGAGGGAACACCAGCGCAATTAAGTGCAATTTACTTAATGTTGTACACCAGTGGCTGCGTCGGAGTACCTACACAACCGCCGCTCTTCCCAAGTGCTGCGGCAGTTTCTTAAGCGGCTTATTAAGGATGTTGGGGTGCATTCGTGGGGGGCAAAGGGAAGGATTAAGGTAATTTTTATTCATACGATTCATGCAAAAAGATAATTCATGGTTCGTGTACGATGAGTATCAGTTTTAGGGTAGTAAAACGCGTAAAATAACAGTAACTCGAAGAATATTACATTAAATCTCGTAAGTGTGAAGAGAAATTCCACTAGATATATTTATTCAATGGTTCATGCTCAATATGATCATTGCTTACGTTGCGTTTCTCGTACCCATCAATCATTTACCTTGTGGCAATGTACATCCATTCATCAAAACACTCCTTTGTATCATTCATTCTACACACACGCACATTGACTTAACAAAATAATATGGCAAGTTCAGCAAATATTGATGAATGTATAAAACTTACAAGTAAACTATTTAACTGTATCATCCTTGTAATCATAACTTATACAAAAGCCGTAAATTATAAAGTCAAATATTGATACATATAAAGTTAAGGAAAGCGATAACTCCAAATTCCCTTCAAGAAAGAGATAACTCAGATTCAGATTATGAACGTACAAGTAGTATGCGCACACTCACTGGTGGGTAAAAGTAATGAGCGAAATTTTACAGAAACTATAGCTTTGGCTCTTTACAATAACATTTCTTCTCCTCCTTCATACGACTGTAGCTTATGTAGGGGTAGTTTGAAAATGGATAAGAATACATTTTTTTACATTTTCAGGTATTTTGCTAAAATAATAAATCAGGGTTTCAAGGGGCTTGGCCAAGGTAATGTCATCACCCGGTATTGCACATATAAAGAGCGGCTTTTTCTTCGGCAGCATAAAAGTAGTTTTTTTTTTTTTACCTTAAATATTTCCTACTATACTCTTTTTTTGTCATTGCTGCACGCAATAGATGTACCTCCACGTGCTTGTTCCATTCTCTTTTCAAAAATTTGTTACTCTATTTCCTGCGAGAATTTATAATGATGTGCATTTTTTTATTTTACCAAGAAAAGGGAGATTATACCCAACGCCTATCTACCCTCGTTTTTGCCGTGTTGCTCCCCGTCAATCATTGCTTCGATAATATTGCCCTTTCGAGCAAGAGCATGTAAGTATACGAGGCTGTGCAGAATTTTTTTTTTGCCTTGCAACTATACACGTTGAACAAAGCTTTACGAAGTCCATACGCTACATAACAACTATTTTTGCGCACATTGACGTTAAAGCCCTTAGTAATAAAAAAGTAAGTTACTGTGCAACGATTTTTGATAAAAAAAAATAATACCCAAAATCTTTTACCTTTTAACAATGTAAAGCTTTCGTGTTTAACGCCATATGCTGAGTGTGAAAAAAAAAAAAAAAAAAAAGAATGTGTAATTTAACCGTTTCATGTCTTAACTGCCGTATAGTATGGAGGAAGGAGGCATTAAAAATAATGGGGAACAAAATAAGGGAAAAAAGAATGAGTGAAGCAAAGTAAAAATTCAGGTGGAAATCTTTACGGGGTCGCTGGAATTTCATGAATTATGCGTTTCGGAGAAGAGATTCAGCACAGCACGCGATGTGGGCGGAGTTGCAGTATGCAGTGAAGGAAGAGGGATGAGAAAAAAATAAAGTGCCGCAGCAAAAACTGGAGAGTAAAGTTTTTTCCCACCAAATATAATAAATCCATGAAGGTTTTAATAAGCTCTCACTTCGAGAGATTTCTTATTTCTTATTGATTGTAACTATATGTTGACAGAGCCATTGATGACACCATCATCGATTCAAGAATCACTATTCAGAACAAAATTGTACTAATACTGATGATGGAAAGATTTATGTATATTTATTTGACATGAACTATGTGTGTATCTCAATAAATTTAGTTGAAAAAAAATGAAAATAAACTCGTCCACTAAGTCTGTAATTAAACTCACTGGTCCACCTACGTATGCCCATGTACACACATT